TCATGACACTTCAGCAACGAGTTTGTTACCTTGACTTCTAAGTTAACGGGTCCCATAAAAGGAGGTAAAAACAAAGAGATTCTCCGAAAACCAGAAGGAAAGAATGAGGGAGGAGTTGTCCCTGAGAAGGCAGAAGGGGACCATCAAATAGCCAGAATAAAGTATTCTTTTAAAAAAAAAAGAAGAAATCCGAGAAGCCCAGAAAACAAAAGAAAAGAAAGGAAGAGAGAGATTTAAAATAATTTATCACATACAGATTTGGAAATAGCTAGGCAAAAAATAAATCCATTGTTGACACACACACACAGTGCTATTTTTAATTATAGAGTTTAACCCAAGAGTAAAGAGCATTGCGACTGGGATTAACGGGAGCATGAACAGCAGTGTGGGGCCAGTGTAATACATAATGGCCGGGGTCCCTGAGTACCCCGCTTATGCAATTTGGAGAGGAAAAGAGATTGAACATGTGCAAGTAGGTAGGGAAAGAGCCGTGATTTATTGGAAATGGTCCTATAATTTAGAGCTTCGGATTATTAAAAAAGAGCTTGGCCTGTATAGCAAGCATTCCAATAGGAAATTCAAGACTGTAGGATAAGTTTATTTAACGAACTAGAGAGAAAGGAACGAGAAGTAGGAACCAAAAGCAATTTACCTTCATATACAGCCTTTTTTTGCACAAAAAGTGATGTAATCATTATAGAAGATTCTTGTTAAATCTTTGACCGAGTAAAGGTTGAAGTAGCTCCTGAATTGAAACAATTTAGTTTTAATATGATTGAGATAATTGGATTTATTGGTAAGATTATTAAAAGAAAGTGAAGATAAGAGAAACTGTTAGGCATAAATGTGAATTTTAGTATTATGATGAACTGTCCAACAGACACACACAGAGAAACCGATAACAGAAAACTCTGCCTGAAAGACAGAATTTTGAAAAAAAATTGGTTTTAAAGAAGAACCCGGTAGAAAATACACTCAGCAAAACCAACCTAGGAACAAATTTTGGAACCGTCTGTGTACACTTCCCACTCAGACGGACCCTCGAAAGTGTTAATGGGGAAGGAAAGAAAATCTGCAATTCCTTTCATCCTCGTGACAAAATATAGAGGAAAGGTTAGGAAACTGGCGACTTCAGACTTTGCTTAGTCCTGAAATCTTCGCCTTAAATCTAAGAGTTTGTCATTCAGTTACTATGGTTATATGTTACTCTTTCTCTTGTTTTGTCTTGCTATTTTATTGCTTATTGTTCCGCTTTAATGTATATATACACATAAATTTCTCTCTCTCTCTCTATATATATATATAGCAGTGAATTTCAAAAGAAGACTACTTGAATCATAAGATAGGATGCATAACTGGGGGAGACTTTTGTAAGCATAGTTCTCATTCACGCGCGAAAGAGTTTGATGATTACAGTCACAATCACCATTGGATAGCATGTTATCGTAGAATCAACACGAAGGGATATATGTTTAATGAACGTGCAGTTGTGCATCTAACTTATGGTGTGGCAAAGGCAAGCTGATGTAGAGCTAACTAAATGTACGCAGAGCGTTCCCCCAATCGGTGCATATCAGAGCACCAATTGTTCTCAAATGTTCATCGAAAACTATTTCATAGTTTTCGTAGAAATTATAAAATAAAAGTTTCTTGTAAAATCTAATAAACTAAAACTATAATAGTTTTACAAATAAGGTTGCAGTAAGTTATATTTTATTTAGTTACATAAAACAATTCACGATTAGCTGAAATCCAGATTCGAAATATAAGAATATTGTATTTAAATGCTGCAAAAAAATATTTTCTGTGTAAAAATTTTTAGAAGATACTAAACATTTCTGATTGAGTTGTAAGTTAATCAATTAATATCTTAAAGTAGTTTTCTTTAAGCTGTCGACAATGATGTCAATTTTGTTCAACAGTGATAAAATCTGTGAAAATTACTAAGGATATCCCAATTTTTTGAAACTTTATTGTACATATAATATAGATATTAAATTAAAATAAAGTATTTTTTAATTTGGAACCCTCCTGTTCCTTAATTTAGTTTTGTTCCATTCTTCAATTGAAATTAATTTATTTAACATGATGTAAATGTATTACCGATTTTTGACCATGCATACATTTTCTTTTAAATTACATTTCACAGTTTTCCTTCAATGCTCTATTGTGTGTAGAAAACCATAACATTCCAAATATTTCCCAATACCTTATTGTTATCAGTATTATTATTTCATTTGTTGCGCAAAACAAATACTAAAACTGAACAATTTTAGGAGAAAAATATTTACAAATTTACTGCAATCTATTTGAAGACCAAACAGATAATACAATACACTAACAAAAGAATTTCGTAAGAATTATCACCTGATATAATTTTACTGGTAGAATTTTTTAAACAAAATAATAAATCTTTATTACTTGTTAAGCTTCGAATAGAAGGTTCCCATTTGTATATATATAGCTCCTACAATGCAAAAAGCACTATGCAGCAAGGTTCACGATAGTCTAATGAACTTCGTTTAAATAACATGCGTTAGAGATGAAAAATTTAAAGAATTTTCAAATGATTTGCTGGTTTTTATTCCAGTTTTCATTGATTTTTGAAGTTAAATGTGGGACAAAACGTGATATGTTTGATTGTGCTACTGTTCACGTTTGCGACTGCGGTAAGAATACAAATATTCTTTTCCAAACTTCACACAGACTGCACTTCTATTTACTTCCTATTTAAAAATATTTCTCATTTTGTTTTAGCTTTTTAGATTTAATTTACAAAGTCTCTTCCATTGAATTTTATTGCAATATTTCTTACAAATCTTATTTATATTTAAAAAATATAATTTCATTAGTAATCTATTGCATATTTTTTGTAAAAAATATTAAGCATTTTTTAATTTGTATTTGATTTACGTCATTGATTTGAAGGAAGATTTAAGATATAATTTAAAATGCTCTCAAATGTAAATACTTTCAATAAACATGCATGAATATATAATATTAATTTGAGTGAAAATATATAAATTGTTTTAGATATTTGTTTGGTAAAGATCATTACTTACGTAATTAATTCTTATTAACACTGTATTACGAAAAAATCATGACCGTGGAAAAAGAATCTTTGAAAGTAAGAATATATTATTAATCGAAGGGATTATTAAAAATTATATTTATATATAAATTTTTAATTCTGATAAACTGGAAACAAATCCAGATTTGAAGAAGCTAAATAAAATTTACAATTAATTTAAAATATAAACACTCTCGTTTTTTTTAATAAATATATAATATGCCAACTGTTAAATGCGAATAAAATTAATAACACGACAATCACAGAAACTTACCTATAATTAGTAATTGAAAATAAATTTAGATGTTATACATAACATTTGTTAAGTTTAAAACAGACGGCAATAGAATTATTACACAGAAATCTAGCTCGATTGGAGTTATTGAGTTTTGTAAACAAAGGTAGTTAGTTTCTTTATTAAATTTCTAGAAACCTGGATTTTTCAAAGGTATGTTTTCGTTCTTATTCCTTCTATGATATAGACAAAAATTCGAAATTACATGCATTTCATAGATCATAGCATTTTAAAATTTTCATGGTATAGTAGACAAGATAATCAACAACTATCTTTAAAAATATTTTTTTCAATTTCTAAATATAAACTAGCTAATTAAAATTTTTTAAAAATTTAGCAAAAATTGCTCCATTTATAAAATTTTGCTGTAATCATCATCATGTCAATATCAAGTAACAATTTTATTGAAAATCAATTTTTACTTTTTCAATCAATGTCAAAATTACCAGCAAATTAACAAAATTCAAATGAGCATTTTTTTGTTGTTGTTGTTGAACGTTTCCAACATTTGGTGTCTGTCTACTCAAGAATCTTTTTTCACCGATTCATGGCACTCAATTTTGAACCATTTTGAGGTAGTGAGATTTGCAAATTTGTATTTACGTTACACTAAAGAGCGGCACGGGGGCTATTGGGGATGGACCTCGTAATTTTGGACCATGGTCAGTTGACGGGGTCGACACTTGAGTTGCCACCCATCTCATCTAACTTCCACAACCACACCAACGGGTGGAAGTTTGAGCCTCGACATATCTAACGTGCATCGGACACCTCTACACGATTGGTCTTCAGCAGTACTAGGCTCAAACTCATGACATTCTGGCCACAATACCGTGAACTTGACCAGTAGGTACCATTGTCATCAGCGTAAAATAAAAGACATCGGTTGAAGAAAAATATATATGTCAAATGATGCTGGTTCATTATCTAAAATTGGTCCGAAATTAATATTTTAGACACCAAAAATGTGTAGTGAATTCAAGTAGGATTTTATGTTTGTCTCAGATCTAGGTGATGAGTACAACAAATGCTGGATGCTTCTTCCGGATGAAGTAAGTTAAGCATTATATTTTGAGAATATCTCTTTATAATACAAAATTTTAAATTGTGAAAAATGTTTTTATTAAATCAAGGAGTATTAAAATTGCTTGAATCAAATTGACGGCAAAAACATATTGATAGGCGTCAATATTGCATGTGTATTGTGGTATTCATAAATAATATAAAAATGCATTTGGCAATTTTTCTTAAAATTGTACGAAAACTATTTTATGGGGACAACAAATTAAATTATGTTCTTTGAGATGACTAATTTTTAAACCAATCTGGTGACTAAGTGACAAAGTATCAAATACAAGCCTAATGCATTATTCTCAATTCCTACTATTAGTTCACTCTCTCCCAATATATATATATATAACTTATACAAATTTTCAATCGTTAGTTAAATACTTTCTATTCATCTCCATTCAATTTCAAATACATTTTTTTTAAACTTGTAGGGGATCCACTTGATGTTAATACAGTTTTTTCAAATATTAATTTATAAACTAAATTAAAAATGAATAAATAGTAACAAAGAAAAATAAAAGTCCAACAGCATATGTAGAAAGGAAAATAGCTCGTTGTGTCCCTGTAGGGCAATGAGTAGCGCATTGGACTTTAAATCCAAAGGTCGTGGGTTCAAATCCTACATAAACGGCTTAATTTTTGAGACTGCGTTTTCTTTTTTACTATACTATTTTATTTTAATAATTAAATTTAATGAATGAATAAGTATTAACAAACACAAACAAAAAAAATAGTCTAACACCATATATAGAACGGAAAATTGCTAGGAAAATCACTTTCTATTTTGTCACTTAATATTGTGATTCTGTCATATGTATATGCATATTTATATTAATTGCATCTGCTTAATAAAAAGTAACTACAATAAATTTTTTCTTTGTTGACCTAAGTAGGAATTGACTTAAAAAAATTTTTTTATAATATTTGTTTTTATTTCATTTAGAAAAATAATCGTGGTTGTTGCATCAGAAGCCCATGGATCCTTAGAACAAAAAAAAAGAAAGAAAATTGCAGCTATAACTAATACAAAATTTTAAAAATAGTGATGATTTTTTATTTATCCGTCTGCCTTGACCCTCTCTCGGTCATACCTGGGCGAGAAAACCCATCTGAAGTTGTTTGCAGTACATAGTTTTGAAGGGTTTTTTTATGCTTAGGTCACTAATCAGTTCTAATTTAGAATCAGAAAAGTGCTGTGTGGAGTTCCAAAAAATTATTATTTGGGAAATCATGACCTTTGAATAATAAGAAAACTTATGCTTTCAAAAAAAAAATATCCCATAATCTAGATCCTAAAAAAGGTAAGCATTAAGGTACCTCACCCAGATTACCTAGGTATGGGAGATAACGCAATTCGAAATTGCGTGCATTTTTCACACATTAAGACCGACCGAAGTCACAAAAAGTTGCAACCGAGGAAGGGTTAATATAAAATTAATCCAAATAGTTATATTAGGTCAAACATTTACGTTTCCCGTAAGGGTTGTAGTGTTTCAGAGTTGGAAAAATAAGTTCCAGATTTGAATTGTGTGCAACCGAACCCACTGTCCTAAAAGAATCCAGAACCATTATCGAATTGAGCAAAAATGAACATTTTATAGTTATAATGTGTTGTCATAATTCCTCCTTGTTTTGATTTAGATGAAGATCACACTCATTGCTTTGGTAACATAGATTGGGAAGCCATTGAATTGAACTCGGAATGATTACTACAAGATTTGCAATATATATATGATGCAATCCTGGTTCCTAAGGCCAGGAGTTTTCTATAGTACTGCTGTGGCTAATACTTTTACTATCATGACTAGTTATCTTAGGTTTATAACTATTTTGAGCATATTTTTGAATATTTTTATATATGTATATATTATAAATTTTAAATTATAAATTTATATATATATATATAACTTTTATTAAATTAAACGCTAGAAATGAGTATGTGATATGAAGACAAGACAAGCTAAATGGTAAGAATCTATTTATCTGAAATGAGTTACAGCTTCTCAGACCCGTCAAGACGAAACTCTTTCTAGACCTTGTGCGTAAAAGCAACTATGCAACTATGATTCAGGTATCAGTTAATGTGGTAATATCGTCCATATAAACATCTACTTTATTCTATAATCTTCCATATTATATGAACTATATACCTTTGGGTAGTGGCGTTCAGATTTGAATAAAGACGTTGTTCTAGCATAAAAAAGACAATTTGACAAGACGAAAGAAAACTTGAGGACCTCCTGAAAAGAGTGCTGGATGGGCAGAAAACGATGAAAATGACGTCCAACAGTGGTTCCAAAACGATAGCGAGCAAAACTTTATGTCCAATGCATAAATTATTTCTGCTGTTATAGTTAAGGAATGTATTTCGAATAACAAAGTACGTCGTTAATGGACTTACTGCTCCTTTTTCGTCGTACGAAAAACGACTTTCGACATTACATATTCTTCAAAAAAAGTAGCCAGTGTTCGCAAAGTCGGCTACTTAATTTTCATGATAAACAGCTTTATGCCTGTAGTGGCTCAAAGCCACCCCTGAGACTACCATCTCCCCGTCTATCATTAAATATTTCTGGATGTGTAGGCGGACTTAAAGGATCAAAAGACATAATTGCAAATCAATAGATTTATTGATTCTTATTAACACAGAAGGGTAGAAACACACAATTCAAATTTAAGAGAAACAAAATAAATTGGAGTACGAAAAGGGGAATTACTAATAGCTGAATAGCGGAATGACAACTGAATCTATGAAAGCTCAAACATGCACAATTACAGCTACGCCACGTACGAATATTCGCAAAATCTTAATTTAAATCACTGACCTTATCTTTTTCATCGGCTGCTACTTCGTGATGATTTCTGCTTTGCTGACTGGTTAGGAGAATGGCTGAAGGATTTACACTCTGTAACACGGATTTTTACAAGCTTCAATCAACTTCTCCACGCTTAGTTCCCACGTAACAGCTATCTAAGAATGTCAACAACTGCGTGCTGACCTACCGATCTGTACTTCACTTAACTTCACTCTTCTATCTCTTCACTTTACTTAACTCCTTTAGCTCGCGAAACCCGAACTTATATAATATATCTTATTTGCATAAATCACGCTTGGTCCCGGTGGAGATTGGTTGAAATAAATAAATTATTTTAAAGAAAATAGAGAAGGTTAGTGGAAGACCGTATAGATCCGTCACATGCCTTCATAAAGTATTTTTCTGTGATGTGTTTTATTAGGTAAATTGCTGTATACTATATATTCATTAATTTTCATTTTCATGTAGTAAATGCTCTATGCCTTCATAAAGCAAGTACGTTTCCTTTGTTTAAGAGAATTTGGTTGTTTATTTTCTGTTGTATTCTCAAGCAAACAGTACATACAAGTGCACTACAATATTTTCTGAGGATACACTCGAACTTATTCTTTTTTAATCCCATTCTCGATAACCCTGGTATTCTTACAAACTCGACGACACTTCGGTCAACATTTGGCGGAGTTTTCGGAACTCTACTGTATACTCTTTGTACAAAAACTTAATATTACATGGTTGGTATGATAGTTAACACATTGTATGTCTCCCATGTGATGAAATACTGTCCATACAACACCTAGGCATGCTGAGTATCAAATTATCAGGTTGATCTTGGGTATAAGATGACTCCCCTCAGCAAGCAATGATCTCCGAAGTTCCGGTACACATGTGGGACATGGTTGAAGGACTAAAGTTCGTTGACCAAGCATGTGCCACACATGTGACGGATTCAAGCCAGGTGAAAATGCTGGTCATTCTATTCGGGTAATAAACTCAGATTGAAAGCATTCGTTTACGATGTTTTCTTGGTGAAGACGGGCGTTAACGCAAATTCTGTGCCCATGGCATCCCTAAACAATCATAAATTTGGTTTCAGAATGATGTCTCTATAAATTTGGTCTGCTATGGTTCCGATTTGAGCATGCGGAACTATTCTGGAACCCAGTAAAATTTTCCTCAAACGAGCAATCTTACACCATCGTAACCATGCAGTTTAATGATGTTGCCTTGGTGGTGACGGGTACTGGGCGTTCTCCGTAGGAAATCTCCACGGGGAATTAGACTTCAAGCTAAACCTAGACTCCTCGGAAAAAATCACGCATGCTGATTGTGACTAGGTCTATGCATTACATGTTCTCTGTTTCAGACTAACTGCTGGAGACAGTGATTTGCAGTGTGCGGAACATATGTGGTAGGTGTGCGAGCACATAGATCAATATGTTCTAAACGTTTCTTAAGGTTTTTTTTTTGAAACTTTCGTGTGACTGCAGATAGCTGACGAGACAGGTCGAATGCTCTACTCCGTATGCTTCTTTTTAAATTACTGCCAAACATTGTTCTTCATTCGGCGTTGTAACTCGGGAGTGATCTGTATCGTAATGTCTACTGCTATTTCCGTCATCTTGGAATCGTTTCCAAAGCCTACAGATGGTACTTTAAGTAAATCCAAGTTCCTCGTATATTTCCATCTGATTACACGGTATGCATTTTGTTGCCGATAATTTTGAAACGTAAAAAAACTTCCTCTGTGTCATACCTATTCTATTATGTCACTGAGTGGCTTATAAAACGCCTGTGAACGATTTTACGTCTTTGGCACCATTCCTTATATACCTCTGTCTTACACTCTCACCATTGTGAAGTGCTATCGGACTCCTCTGACTATTTCCTGTAATTTGTATATTATTGTTAAAGTTGTTTATGATAATTCTACAGGTGAAGTCTTTAGTCTAGAGTTCGATTTCCATGTGATTCTGAATTATCTTTAATTTATGGACATGAGTGTGAATCAATTAAAGCAGCATAAATAAAAATTAATTGTGTAGCCATGATAAAAAGAAAACTACTTTTATAACTAAGCAATTCCCATCTCACATGTGACAAAACAAAATCATGATTAAGAATTTAATTAGTTAAATAAAATTAAGAATTCAAATTTGTTAAACCAAAATATTAAGGAATTAATTATTTAACACAACTATTTTATAAACAGAATTTATACCGTAAGAAAAGGCAATTTAACATGTTTTACGGATTTTTCAATGATTTATCCCAATAGGCAAAGGAAATAGCAAGGGATTTGTATGCTGATTTTTTTCCTGTAGAACAAGGTATGAGACCTTATATGATCGAAAGATGCAAAAGAATAAATGACGAATCCGTAAGTTCAAAATAATATTTAAGGCGCCAATTTTTATAGATTTACATACACCTATAAAATCCTAAGAATTGAAATAATAATTACTATTGCAGATGTTTGATGTCTACCTAAAAGTGGAGAAAGAATTGAAAAAATACGCGGTAAAAATTTTAATTTTGCAATTTTTATCGTTTTTTTAAATAATTTTTAAATTCAATTTTAATTAATCTTTCTTTTTCTTGGTATTTTTAGCTGTAAACTGTTATATAAATTTATGTATATATTTTTAGGAATATAATTTTATACAATTTTATTTTATTTAAGGTGTTGTTTCATATAGTCCCAATACTTCCTACTTTTAACAACAATATGCTTATGAATGGTTAATTTAAGGACAAGAATAAATCCTAGATATTTTGGGTCTTCTCATAGATAAGATCCTGGTTATCTTGCCTCAG